GAACTGTTTTCTAGACTAACTGATCATCTCATATATCATCTACTCAATCAATAACAAACATTTATTTTGAAAAGGCAAAACAAGCAGCAAGTCTATTTACATCTCGTTTTAATGACTAGAACAATCTAATGATGAAAAAAGCAAACGATATCAGCAAGATTGAAACGCAAAGATATTCAAATGGAAATGATATTAATTATGAAACAGGTTAGATTCTCTCTTTTCCTTTTTTTGTCTCGAAGAAAAAGAAAACGAAGAGGAAAAAGAGTGTGAATGAAAAAAAACAACAATTTGCGGATTAGTTTTCTATAAAATTTGTTTAGTAGATACGACGAGAGAAGATGATGGGAACGATTAACATCAAAGTACTAACATATGTTGATACTACGACATAGAGAGAGAGAGGGAATATGAGAGCGGAAGAGAGCGTGGTGCATTTGATCTGAAGATGATAATCATATTGATTTTTGTTTAGAAAAAACTCGTAGTGATCAATCGATCGACATAATCAAAGAAAATCCCAATTCGAAAATACTTGAAGACGAATCGACAACAGAAATTAAATTAAGTTTACCATCGGCGTCCAATCCATTGAATGCTCGTCGTCGGTTTCATCAGAAAACGTCAACAAATGTTCAAGGAGAATTCACCTTGCCAACCAATCCTCCCATAACGGTTACCATTCAGCCACAAAATACCGCGCCGAATGAAAATTTCCAAAAGGTCAATTCATTTCATGATGATCAAATCTATTCACCTGATCAAATCCATCAACTAATTAATGAACATCGAATTAGTTATGACATATCATTGAGAGGAACATCAACAATCGTGAATTATTTTATGGATCTATTAAAACCAAGTGATAATAAATTAGCAATGAAATTATTCGGAAGTAAGAAAGGTCTTTTGAAAGAACGTTTAAGGCAACAAAGATCTGGCCATTGTATAATTCATCCATGTTCAAATTTTCGGTAAGATCAATGCGCGTTTCTCTTCTCTAAATAACTTTTTTCGTTCTTCAATTTAGTTTTTATTGGGACTTAATAATGCTAATATTATTAATAACAAATGTTATTGTTTTACCAGTGGCGATTGCTTTTTTCAGTGAAGAAATCAATTCTTTACGATGGATTACTTTCAATGTTATTTCCGATGCTTTTTTTCTCTTTGATATTGTTGTCAATTTTCGAACAGGTTTTTCTTCATTGAATTCCACTGAGGAAATCCTCATTGACTTTGTTTCGTATTTAGGTGTGTTGAGGAATGATTACATTGATGAAATTATTCTCGAACCACGTCTGATTGCTATGCATTATATCAAAACCTGGTTTATGATTGATTTATTGAGTTCACTACCAGTTGATTATTTATTTCTATTTTTCGATGGTGGTGATCATACGGGTGGTTATACAATAGCTCGAACCGGACGAGCTATCAAAGTTCTTCGGCTTGTTAAATTACTTTCATTATTACGATTATTACGATTGTCACGTCTTGTCAGATACATTCATCAATGGGAAGAGGTTTGTTTCGATATAATGAATTTTGTCCATCAGTCCATTATCTAATTTTTTTTGTTTCCATAACGGAAGGAAGCATTAAGTTTCTTTTTCTTCTCTACCATAAAATTTCTTGAATCACGTTCCACTAAGCATCGATTACTTTCACAGAGCAAGACTCAAACATCAGATTTTCTTTTCTCTATAGTTCTTATCAATAGCAAGCATGGTTATGCGTATATTAAATCTATTAGCACTAATCATATTATTGGCACATTGGAATGGATGTTTACAATTTATGGTTCCTATGTTTCAAAATTTTCCGTCAGATTGTTGGGTTGCACTTAATGGCCTTCAAAATGCTCCATGGACTGAACAATATACTGTTGCACTATTTAAAGCACTTTCACACATGTTGTGCATTGGATATGGAAGATATCCTCCGCAAAGTTATGTTGATATGTGGTTAACAATGCTGTCGATGGGTAAGGAAAAGATTTTTCTTCTTGACGGTGTTAATTGCAGCATAAACGTTTAGTCATTGGCGCCATGTGCTATGCAGTAACAATTGGTCATGTTTCTGCTCTTGTGCAAAGCTTTGATACATCAAGAAGACTATATAATGAAAAGGTAATTGATATTTTATATTAATCTCTTTTGAGAAGAGAAAGAACAATCTAGTTCAAACAAGTTGAAGAGTATATGGCATGGAGAAAATTACCTCGGCAAATGCGGAACAGGATAACAGATTATTATGAACATCGCTATCAAGGAAAAATCTTCCACGAAGATACGATTCTTACTGAACTATCGGAACGATTACGATTGGTTTGTTTTCTTTGGAAGAGGAAAAAAGGAATTATTCTTTTCTTTTTGTATTTGAAAGGATGTTATTAATTATAATTGTCGTTCACTTGTATCATCAGTTCCATTTTTTACCAATGCAGATCCAAATTTTGTCTCTGATGTTGTTACCAAATTACATTTTGAAGTCTTTCAACCTGGTGATCAAATCATAAGTGAAGGAACAATTGGAGATAAAATGTATTTTATACAAGAAGGCGTTGTGGATATAATTAAAGCTGACGNAGGAAAAGATATTGAAGAGAAACTATCGACGTTTTCTATCGAAGATTATTTTATATGAAACTCATAGACAAATCTCCCAATGACACACTTGGGAATATAAGAACTGTTTTCTAGACTAACTGATCATCTCATATATCATCTACTCAATCAATAACAAACATTTATTTTGAAAAGGCAAAACAAGCAGCAAGTCTATTTACATCTCGTTTTAATGACTAGAAAAGTCTAATGATGAAAAAAGCAAACGATATCAGCAAGATTGAAATGCAAAGACATTCAAATGGAAATGATATTAATTATGAAACAGGTTAGATTCTCTCTTCTCTTTTTTTTTGTTCTCAAAAGAAAAAGAAAACGAAGAGAAAAAAAAGAATGTCAATGAAAAAAAACAACAATTTGTGGATTATTTTTCTATAAAATTTGTTTAGTAAATAAGAAGAGAGAAGATGATGGGAACAATTAACATCAAAGTATTAACATATGTTGATACTACAACATAGGGAGAGAGAGAGAGACAACATGAGAGCGAAAGAGAGCGTGGTGCATTTGATCTGAAGATGATAATCATATTGATTTTTGTTTAGAAAAAACTCGTAGTGATCAATCGATCGACATAATCAAAGAAAATCCCAATTCGAAAATAATCGAAGACGAATCGACAACAGAAATTAAATTAAGTTTACCATCGGCGTCCAATCCATTGAATGCTCGTCGTCGGTTTCATCAGAAAACGTCAACAAATGTTCAAGGAGAATTCACCTTGCCAACCAATCCTCCCATAACGGTTACCATTCAGCCACAAAATACCGCGCCGAATGAAAATTTCCAAAAGGTCAATTCATTTCATGATGATCAAATCTATTCACCTGATCAAATCCATCAACTAATTAATGAACATCGAATTAGTTATGACATATCATTGAGAGGAACATCAACAATCGTGAATTATTTTATGGATCTATTAAAACCAAGTGATAATAAATTAGCAATGAAATTATTCGGAAGTAAGAAAGGTCTTTTGAAAGAACGTTTAAGACAACAAAGATCTGGCCATTGTATAATTCATCCATGTTCAAATTTTCGGTAAGAACAATGTGCGTTTCTCTTCTCTAAATAACTTTTTTTTTTTCTTCAATTTAGTTTTTATTGGGACTTAATAATGTTAATATTATTAATAACCAATGTTATTGTTTTACCAGTGGCGATTGCTTTCTTCAGTGAAGAAATCAATTCTTTACGATGGATTATTTTCAATGTTATTTCCGATGCTTTTTTTCTCTTTGATATCGTTGTCAATTTTCGAACAGGTTTTTCTTCATTGAATTTTACTAACGAAATCCTCATTGACTTTGTTTTGTATTTAGGTGTGTTGAGAAATGATTACATTGATGAAATTATTCTTGAACCACGTCTGATTGCTATGCATTATATCAAAACCTGGTTTATGATTGATTTATTGAGTTCATTACCAGTTGATTATTTATTTCTATTTCTCGATAGTGGTGATCATACGGGTGGTTATACAATAGCTCGAACCGGACGAGCTATCAAAGTTCTTCGGCTTGTTAAATTACTTTCATTATTACGATTACTACGATTGTCACGTCTTGTCAGATACATTCATCAATGGGAAGAGGTTTGTTTCGATATAATGAATTTTGTCCATCAGTCCATTATCTAATTTTTTTTTGTTTTCATAACGGAAGGAAACATTAAGTTTCTTTTTCTTCTCTACCATGAAACTTCTTGAATCACGTTCCACTAAGAATCGATTACTTTCATAGAACAAGACTCAAACATAAGATTTTCTTTTCTCTGTAGTTCTTATCAATAGCAAGCATGGTTATGCGTATATTAAATCTATTAGCACTAATCATATTATTGGCACATTGGAATGGATGTTTACAATTTATGGTTCCTATGTTTCAAAATTTTCCGTCAGATTGTTGGGTTGCACTTAATGGCCTTCAAAATGCTCCATGGACTGAACAATACACTGTTGCACTATTTAAAGCACTTTCACACATGTTATGTATTGGATATGGAAGATATCCTCCGCAAAGTTATGTTGATATGTGGTTAACAATGCTCTCGATGGGTAAGGAAAAGATTTTTCTTCTTGATGGTGTTAATTGCAGCATAAACGTTTAGTCATTGGCGCCATGTGCTATGCGGTGACAATTGGTCATGTTTCTGCTCTTGTTCAAAGCTTTGATACATCAAGAAGACTATATAATGAAAAGGTAATTGATATTTTATATTAATCTCTTTTGACAAGAGAAAGAATAATCTAGTTCAAACAAGTTGAAGAATACATGGCATGGAGAAAATTACCTCGGCAAATGCGGAACAGAATAACAGATTATTATGAACATCGCTATCAAGGAAAAATCTTCCACGAAGATACGATTCTTACTGAACTATCGGAACGATTACGATTGGTTTGTTTTCTTTGGAAGAGGAAAAAAAGGAATTATTCTTTTCTTTTTTGCATTTGAAAGGATGTTATTAATTATAATTGTCGTTCACTTGTATCATCAGTTCCATTTTTTACCAATGCAGATCCAAATTTTGTCTCTGACGTTGTTACCAAATTACATTTTGAAGTCTTTCAACCTGGTGATCAAATCATAAGTGAAGGAACAATTGGAGATAAAATGTATTTTATACAAGAAGGCGTTGTGGATATAATTAAAGCTGACGGTACGGTCTTAACAACACTCTCCGATGGATCATATTTTGGCGGTCTGTCTCTTTTCTGTTTCTGAACGAGAGAACAAATCCTTCTTTTCTTTCCTTTTAGAAATTTGTCTATTAACACGGGCGAAACGTGTTGCAAGCGTTCGTTGTGTAACTTATTGTAATTTGTATTCGTTAGATTCTTCACAATTTGAATTAGTACTTGAATCCTACCCATTGATGAGACGAACAATGGAATCAGTTGCAGCTGAAAGACTTAATAAATTAGGAAAAAATCCATCAATAATCTCGACACGTCATGATTTAAAACGCGATGCAGCTGTATTAAAAAATATGATCGATCGGGCAACTCCGCAACCATCAAGCGATTCATCATCGGATAGCGATGCATCATCGGACATGTCCAATTCACATAAGAGAACTGATTTTAAATCGTCATTATCGCATTTGCATGAAGAATTTAAGAAGTCATTTATTGTTAATCGTTTAAGTACAGATCGACGAAAATCAACTTCGGAAGATAAGAAAATGAAAAATTTGAGTAAAGTTTATCTGACTGCGCCGAATTCCAATCAAAATCAAATTAAAAAATCTCCGTCCACACCTATGGACATGAGTAACAAAACTCATCATTAAATTATTCTTTTTCTCTTTTTCAATTTATAAGATTTTTTTCAAAAAAAATCACAAGCAATAAAAAAAAACCTCGATTGCCATTCTATTTTGAAGGGAAAAGAAATAATTGTTATTTTCCTTTCAGATAAATGTTAGAAAATTACTAGTATAGTAAAATACGTTTTGACATTGAGCAAAACGGAAGTTAAAGCGGAAACGGAATTGAGCTTCCGGATTATATTTTCTAAGAAATAAACAGCATGTTCCTTTTCATTATTGGACAGATAGAATTCAAGTAAACGATTCAAGAATTTCTTGACGATTTTTTTCAATTAAACAACTTCGTCTGAGGAAATAGAAAAAGAAAATCCTTCAATCGATTAGTTTGTTCAATAGAAGAAATTACTAAAGACTATTTGAACAAAAGATTTCATTCATTATTCATATTTCTTTTATTTGTAGGAAAATAGTACTCTAATAAACATATTAATAGAATATCTACTTAACCATGAATGACTACCTTTCAAATTTAATACTCTTTTATTTTATGAAACGAGTTTCCAATGATTTATCACTTTTTATGTTTTCCAGGATATGTAGTTGATTATTATTTCTATGTGTACAAAATCGAGAAAAAAAAAGGGACTTGATGCAATGATTCATTAATGTGCATGATAAGAAATGACATTTGGCTGAGAATGATAGTTAACGATCAGAGATCAATGTTGTTTAAGTGATCATTTTTTTAAGCGTTGGTTGAATCTATTGAAAGATACTTTTTTAATGGGAAAATCTTAATAATCGACACCAAAAAGAAGGTATTCAAGCTATGGGTATATCGATTGATGAAAGGATTATGGTACTGGTAATTATAGGTGTGGATTCAGATTCTGTTGATTCTTCCTTTATAATCTAAAGTGAACTTTGACCGTCTTAAAGATGAGAGTGACTATCATTTACTGCTAATTGTAGTGTTCAAATGCATAAATTGAATTTTCACTTGAGGTGATGGAGACAGAACAAAATCTCCCGTAGTTTATCAACTTTGACATCTTGTCACCAATGGTTTAGTCCTGTTTCCGTGACATTCACGCTGCTCGTTAATATCTACGCCATGTAATCTGACAATTTCGAGGAAACAGAATAAAGCTAAACAAGTGCATGGATTTGGTTTGATTTCATTTAAATCGATGGATGTTTCTATTACTTAAAATGCATCCGTTTAGAAATAATCAACATATGCTTCACATGAAAGAAGAAGAAGAAGAAGAAAAAAACCTAAGATGTATATATATATCTTTCGTTTACTTGAGAATACTTAAACGATGTCTGTATGATACAAGATATGTTGAATAGATAAATCAAACGGTAGACGTGATACTAAAAGCGTATGAATATACTAAAAGATATGTCCTTTATGTGGGCGAATAAAAAGAGGTCAGTCGTTAAGGTTGAGTGCACATTTGTTTTACACTATGTTCTTTTTATTAAATTGAAACGAAAAACTCTACGAGATGAAAGCAATGTTGTTGATTTGTGTGTTTTTTTTTTTGAAAAAAGAGAGAAAATTTCAAATAAAAGAAAATGTTCTAAAATTGCATAGGAGGTAAATATCCATAATTAGATGGAGACATTGGCTGCCATGGTGCTTGTTGATATTCATTTAATGGTTGTTGAAAAGGTGATCGGTTATTGGCTAATGGTAATCCATTATTCCAAGCAGGTGATAAATTCATTGCTGCCATTTGTCCACCATTAAATGGATTAGCTGGAAATGCTCCTGGTGTAAATTTGCTCAAATCAAATGGTTGAATTGGATATCGAACTTGTGGAATTCCATTGGGCGGCATAATATTAGCTGCAGCTAGAACATTTGGATTGATCGTTCCAACCATTGGCGGGCTAAACACGTTGGGTGGTTGGTAAAATCCTTGCGAACTTGGACCATTTAGGTTGGGATTAGCAGCACGCATCATTGGTGGTTGAGACATTGCACGTGTCGATGGTTCACCATTATGTGAGCGGTGTTTCGATGATCGACGTCTTGTAGAACCTTGTGGAACATTATAATGACGTTCATATTTACTAACTTTTTCCACCTTTTCGTTTTTTCCACTGTTGAATAAACCCATAACTGTATAGATTTCAACACTACTTGCTGTACTAGGTGACGAAGATTTATTATCAGAGGCCAGTCTTCTCTTCTGATCAAACTATCAAACTAAACAACACTCACCAACTTAAATGAATATCATTTCCTTCACTCGCTTTCTTCTCTCTTTTTTCTCTCATTTGTTCATTTACGGTCTAACGAACACGAACATTTCTTTCGTCTTTCGTCGGTCTCTCTTTTTTTTTTTGGGTATCGGCCAATATCTTTCTCTCCATGTATGTTAAATTTCATCTCTCATTATTTATTGTGTTCAAAGTGAACATCATTTCATGAGAATTCAACCGTGACAATGAATATACCTTACGTCAATCATCTCCAATATATATTCATTAGTCAAGCAAATAGAACGAACCATGTCTATCGTCAAATCATACAAATAGGAAAAAATCTCTCGTGTAGCGATTTTTCAATGACAATATTCACTTTGACAAACTAACAATTATCAATTTAATATACAAACATTCATTTTCTGAGAAGAGATCAAATTTTCCAGTCTGACCTTAGTTGACCTAGACAACGGGAAGGCTTAATACAACCTTTTCTTCATATTTACTATGAATTGCGTGTGTACAGTCAAGGGTAGAAGTCAACAGGCAACATAGAAGATCTTAGGTAGAGAAATACACATCATACATTAAGTTTATGCCTACGAAAAAGAAAAGACGTTGTAGGTTATTTAGTGCGATTTTAACCGTTAGAAAACAAGAAATCGTATGAACAGTAGAGGTCAACATGAGCTGGTTCATGAAATTCAGTTGATCATCTCTCATAATCATAAAATTCTTTAAATATTTCTACAGGATATGTTTAGACAAAAAGTGCAACAATAATTTTCTTTCTACGATATTTCATTTGTCGACGTTGATGTTTTGTACTATCGTTAGCAAAGATTTAATATTCTCGTCTAAAATATGTTCGGCAGCAATGAATAGTAAATTCGGACTCTTTTTTGTTGTGAAAGTATATTGAATGACACAATTTTTTATAAAAATGAAGAAAATTTTCAAAATACGCTTAAAAAAGAAAATTTATTTTTCTTGTGATGTTGTTGATTTCTTTCTATCGTTGTCAAAATCAATGTGAGTGGTTGCCATCGGTAATTCTTCTTATTCTGGTTGTTATGGTTCATATTCTACCGGTTTATTCCTTTTTCTTTCTTTTTCTATCAATCATTTACTCATACAAATCAACAGGAGAAGAGAAAAAGGAGTTATTTTTTGCTGTAATTCTTAATAAGAAAACTAAAATTTGTGAAATCATGTCGTGGGAAATGGAACTAGATGAAAATATTCTCGAAGATCTATATCTCTGGATTGATAGTTTGCCTTTATCGCGGCCAAAGAAGAGGATTGAGCGAGATTTTTCTGACGGTAAATATATTTTGAATTGAAATTCTCATATTGATTTTTTTCAAATTTTATTTTAGGCACTTTAGTAGCGGAAATTATTCGTTATTATCTACCTGATCTAGTTGAAATGCATAACTATACTCCCGCACATTCAATTCAACCGAAGAAAGCCAATTGGGGAATATTGAACAAAAAAGTTTTGTCACACTTTGGACTGGATCTACCGGATGTAATCATAACTGGTCTTTCGAATGGAAAACCAGGACTTATCGAAGTTCTTCTTTACAATCTTCGAATGAAAATTGATGAAGAATTAGAATTACAGCAAAAAATGTATCAACAACAACAGCACTATCCACAACAAATGATATCACCACGACAATCTTCGCTTTCGCATTTAACATTGACCTCGAAAGCTAATCAAGTTCCTTTGATATCAACTAGATCAAATAAATCGACTAAATCAAATAAACTGAATGCAACTTCTCACAAAGAAGTGTCTCGTCTTGAGCACGAAGAAATCAAACAGCAATGCTTTCAACAACAAGAAGAAATTGAAATACTTCACGCAAAAATTCGTCGACTTGAACATGTTCTCCAACTTAAAGATATTCGAATTAGTGAACTATCTAAAGNAGATTGACAAGCTGCGAAGAATGAAATAATTGAGTTCTTTTTTTCTCCCTTTATATATGTACATCTTTTGATAATTATGTCATATCTTTTCATGTGCATATCAGAACAAATCAACATGTCTGACTCATGTACGTGAGCTTCTTCAGACTACAACACATAGAATTACTATATTGCTTCACATATTATGTATTTCGCTTCAAATTGTTGCGAAATCAATTATAGAAAAGCAGTTATGATCATCTTATTATCTTTTGAACTGCATTTTTGGCAGACAGGATACATTCATTCACATATTGTTTATCATTCGTCGCTCGATACGATAAATATCGGTCGCATCTCTCATCTCCTTCGTTCCTTCTACTCTTTATATATAACTGTCCACGTGCTAGTACACGTGTTTAATTAAAAACCTGTTATATTCAGACTCATTAATGATAATGAGTACTGAAGATACTGGTAATGCAAGGAAAGTTAAATTAGTCCAAGATAACCTGAATGAACAGGCTGAACAATCCAACATTAGAAAAAGATCTATACAATGTCCAAATGATGGTGATTCATCAACAGTTCACACACCTAAACGAAATCGCAAGGACACAACCAATGAAGACACTAGAATTACTCAATGTCCTTCCAAACCAGTTCAAAATAAACAGGAAGAATCAAGTACATCAACAGCTACAAGATCAACAACGTCCTCTTATTTCAATACTGGGGTGAGTCATCAACCTAAAAACAACTCCAATGAAACAACAGGTCGAATGCATCGTGAATCACCGCGACAAACGTATCCACCCTTTCGTATTACATTTCAAGATGAAAACAGTTATCCAACGTCTGAATTAAGTTTAATTAAAGAAATCAACAAGCAATGTAAACTCAACTTGACATATGGGCGGTACACCAAGACTTCGGACATGAAAATGTGTTTCCTACTCTATCCTAGTACGACAGAACAATTCGAATATTTGATGTGTGAATCAAACTGGCCTTCGATGATTAGCAAAACCGAATACAAGCTTGACTTACCAATCAAAATTCCATCATCTTATTCTATAGTAATTCAAAAGGTACCGAGTCAATGGAATGCCGAAGCATTTGGCAGGGAATTAAAACAATGTTATCCATCAATTGTACGTGCAGTTCGTCTCTTTATTAGTGGTGGTCGTCCATTGTCAAAAGTTCGTGTAGATTTCTCATCATACAAGGAACTATCATCGATTTTAAAAGCGAAACGGATTTTACTTGATGATGATAATACAGCATTTGCTGTCGAACCATATGTCCCACCAACTCGTATACTACGATGTTATAATTGTCAAGCTTATGATGTTCATATTGCTGCTCATTGTCCAAGCAAGAACAACCCTGTCTGCTTTAGATGTGCTCAACAACATCCGTATAATCCACAATGCAATAATCCTATCAAATGTGTGCATTGTGACGGTGATCATATGGCAGGAAATCCGAGCTGTCCAGTCAAATTAGGAAAACGTCAAGAAAGAAATCAACGAATGAAAACACCACGTGAAGCATCATCTACAATTAATCAACAACAACGCAAGCATACTTGGACGGGCAATGCAAATGAGCATTTATTTGGATCTGAACCAACACCAAACACCACCTCGTCTACTTCTACTCTAAACAACAGCATGAATTATGAAACGAACATCCTGAATATGTTCGAAAAAATTGAAAATGCAATGCATGGTATCAAACAGAAGCAAGTTGAATTAAATAACAAATTTGATGAAATCAATGCCAAATTAAATTATCATAATGATAATATTAATCAGCTCAAATACTGCATTTATGACGTCTTATGTCCACTCGTCCAAGAAATAACAATTCAAACGCAGTCAAAAGCAACAGCAGCAAATAAAAAAGCCATAGTCCCATTGTACAATAAACTAACCGAATTGATTTCCAAAAATAACAACTCATCTAACAATATGGATGAGTATACTACCAATGAAATCGGTGTCAACGAATATACAAAATCAAACGGTGAATTATATCAAACAACGACTCATGAATCCCGACGCTAAGACATTCATACCTAATCAAAATGATTCTCATATAATCCAAATGAACAATTTATCCAAAAGGCAAATCAAAATCCTCCAAGATATCATCATGGAATGGACCTCATCCTCAACATTAAATAATATATTTAACAAATGGGAAGTACGTCGACAACAAACAGCCGAAATGCTAAATGCTAAAAGCGAATTATCTTTCCTATTATTGAATATTAGCAGTCTCAAACTTCATCTTGATGAACTGTTTGTATTGCTTGACTCTCTGCATGTATCAATTATCGTATTAAATGGAACACGACACGATGATAATGCATTAAATCGTTTCTCAAGACATTTATCTAATTTCCAAACCTTTTCACAGATAGGTACAAATCCATTTGGTGGTGTAATAATTGCTATTCATCGATCAATTCGTGTACAAAGAGTCGCCAAATTTAATGTTAACCAAAACCTGATTGTCCTTGATATAGGCTATTCTTCTAACTCTCTACAACTGGCAACTTGTTACTCGCCACCAAAGGAAAAATTACCTTTAGATCTCTTTAACGATATAATACAACGGAACTCAAACACCATCATACTCGGTGATCTCAATGCTAAGCACGAGTCGTGGTCCAATACAGCTAGAAATCAAAAAGGTCAACTCTTACATGAATGGTTGAACAACAACGACTTTCAAGTCGTAAACAAATTTATTCCTACTTCAACTAGATCGAATGCGGTGATTGATCTCATATTAACACCTATGAATACGTTAAATGGTAGCTTTTCTGTACTTCCATCCATTGGAAGTGATCATCGTCCGGTGTTCTGGTCATCAACATATACAGTATCAACAAAAGATCGTGTTTTTCCGATCAAACGGACATACTGGACCATTTTTCAAATATTCGTTACATTCACTGCCACCTTTTGGAATGATCTATCAACAACCATGACAAATCAAACGGAATTTTTCTACATCTATGAACGTTTTCTATCATTATCTTCTGCACGACTAACATATGTGTCTTATTGTGATTCTTACCGACCATCAATACCACCAGAAATAGTCAATTTAATACGGCATAAACAACACCACCTACGTTTAGCAAGAAAAACTAAACATCCATTTCATATTACTAAACTAAAATTGCTGTCAAAAGAAATACGAAAAGCTATGTTTATACACAAACGGAACATGTGGAAGGAGTACTGCAAGTCGATTAACTCTTATGATATTAAACAATTTTGGAGAAAAGCAAATAGACACTTTTCATCATGCAGTCCGCCAATACAAGGTATTCTACATAATGGTATTGTCGTCTCGACTCCAAATACAATGTGCAATTTAGCAAAACAATTTTACTCAGAACAATTTGCTGAACACGAAAACAAGCAAACACCTATTGATATAGAAGCGGACATAGTCAACAACGAATTAGAAATCGAATTACGTGAGCCACGTGGCATTGAATTAAATTGTATTAATGTTAAATACACAGATATTAAGAAAGCTGTTACATCCCTAATGAATAAAAATTCCACAGGTCTTGACGGTGTATCAAATAAAATTATTAAACTACTTCCCACACCACATCTTACATTCATCACTTCCTCATTCAACTATTTCTTCCAAAATATTTACTTTCCGGAACATTGGCTTCAAGCCAAGATAATACTTTTATCTAAAACGAAATCATCTACAGTCGAACTAAATGATACTCGACCAATATCATTACTTCCATGCTTCTCAAAATTATATGAGAAACTATTTCTTGAACATTTTCGTCAATGGATTACAGATCATGGTATACTTCCTGAAGAACAAACAGGATTCAGGCCGGGTCACAACATGTACACTAGAATTACAGCAATTATTGATCAAATTGGACAAGGACTTGCTCTTAATACAGCAACTGCTGCTGTTTTTATTGATTTTAAAAGTGCGTTCAATCAATTGTGGATAAAAGGTCTATGGATAAAACTCAAAAGACTCGATTGTCCTTTATATATCATGGCATGGTTAAGGAAATATTTAATTGGTCGCTCGGCATATATCGAATTAGAAGGGTGTAAATCGGAACAATTCCCATTATTCAAAGGTGTACCACAAGGGTCTTGTGTTGGACCAGTTCTATTCATAATCTACCACTACGATATATTAAATGCAATATCAAACTTACATTTCAAGCACCTATTTGCCGATGACCTGGCTGTGGTTCTCTCACCATCAGCAAACTGGTCATCACAACTACTCATCTCAAATCTTGCTCAACAAATTACAAATGTAATAAAAGAGCTGTATTCATACTCAATCACATGGAAGCAGCCGATTAATTTCAAGAAGACCTACTGGACATTATTTCATAGACAAGTTTCACCATCTATACCGATTATCAAATGTGAAAACAACATCATCGAACAAGTCTCCAAAATAAAGTATCTTGGTGTAATACTCGATGCCAAATTATCATTTAATCATCATCTCGATTACGTCAGGTCCAAAATTAATAAGAATGTTGTTGTTTACAAACGTTTATCGAGTAGTCGTATGCTATCCCAGGAAGTCTCCTATCGACTACATTATGCATATATTCGTCCTTATTACCAATCTATATTAAATATTTATCCTATTTTATCCTGGACGAAACAACAACAAATGGAAGCGTTAAATCGCAAAGTCTTCCGAATCATACATAGATGGTTCGATGCAACGAATGATGAAGTTACAAATCTTCCAAAATATATATCAATCGAACTTCTCACATGCATGCACTATACAAAATTACTACACACAATTATTAGAACAAATCCAACAATCATTGCTGACTTCTTCCAACACAAGCTGTACCTACTGTTTCTCAAAGAATACTACCTAAATCCAATCTTACTGAAGGAAAAGCAAGCCATGGTCTCAAGAGGTAGAACACCCGATCGAATTAATGAATTATTATCCTATTGTGAACAATCACTCTTTGATGTTGCGTTCTGCTATACATCAAATTAAAATGTTTTTCTTTGTTTCTTCCTTGTAATCAATTCTTACTGCAATTGATCTATTCGTCTTCTCTCTTCTCTTTTTTCTTTTGCTCTATGTGGTTTTTTTTTCGGACTACGGAGACGATGTTCGTCTATGTCCACCTTTTCTCCCTCTACCCAAAAAATGTCTATATGCATCAAAAATAAAGCAGTATACTACTACTATAGAATAAATATAGTATACATATACATGACTCATAAAGGAGGCGGCATACGAGACGAATAATAACTTATCTCAAAAGAGGTCATAGTGTTGAATTGTTTAAGAGTCAATTTTAAAATTGGCAATATTCTTGAAAAGCTAGTATAATGAAAAGCAAAGTGTATTTTGTACACTTGCCACTAGAAACATAGACTGTCTCCGGCAATGACGACTATCATATGAATTCACTCAACATTAATTTTTCTTTTTGTTTTTTAGTTTAGTCTTGGTGTGTAAGTGATTACACCGATCTATAGTTTCCTCAATGTACGATTCAAGATTAATAGATGGCATCATGGTGTAATAGCGAGCAGATGTTTGCCTGAAGGAAAACATTGAGTATAGAAAACAATAAAGACACATGTATATCTTCGAGTATTATTTTTCAGTAATAAATCTTGTTGTAATTCTTTCATCATTCATAAACTTGATTTTATATAATCTACTCGGAGCTAAATTTTTTATTATAACTGACAAAAAGTTTAATCTTGTTACTTTTAACATCTGTTCTGAAAGTATGGCGAAAAAGAAACAAATATCGAAATGAGAGTGTACATCGCAGATGATTCACAATATACTTTGCACAGACTATGACAGATATTCATTTGAACATTGAAAAATTCGTTGGATCACACGCCGCTGTATGATATTTATTAGTAAGATCTTGACTATTTATGTTTTCGAACAAATTCGATTAGATTTCTTGATAAATAGCTTTCATGATTGATCTTCATTTGATTAAGACGCAGAGCACATTGACACTTCAAACTTAGAACAACTTTCCGTTTGAATAATTCGATCAATTGAGAATTTGCCGTACAATCCAAAAGCGTCTTGCCTTGCTTATTAACGTAATCCGGATGAAATCGATTTGTACGCAAAAATATGTCCAATATTGTTTCTGCGATCGTCAACTGTGTATCTGAAATATTTCGAAAAAGAATGTGCAAAGGTGTATTTCCATTGATATCAACAGCATTAACATCAAAATCACATTCGATCAATAACTTGACAGCATCAGCACACAGAAAACTATAAAAGAAGAATCGAGAATGATAGACTTATTTTTGGATTACTTTGTACATACGAGATTTCGGTTTGTGATATTTTGAGACTAAAATGTGGATGACAAAATAAGTGTAGAAGTGTTGAACGATCAAATTTTGTGAAAATATTTAATCGATTGATCCATTGTATTAATCTACACAGTTGTTCTTGTTCATTCGATGTGAAACAAATCTATGAAAGAAATCCTAAATTTTCATCAAATCTTATCTTCTTCTCGATCTTACCTTCGTAGAAACATAAATTAAAAATAAAATGCTGTTCATATAGTAATTATGTGCAATTTGCATCACTTTTTCTGGTGCTGCAAGTAATTTCCGATATAGACGTCGAAACCGATCGATTGATAATTGAAAACATTCCAAAAATCTTCTTGTTGGAATAAATACATTTCCGAAGGACAATATTTCCAAGTATACTTCACCAATATCTCGTGTTACCTGGGAGATATAAAACATTCTGTTTCGATTATTGATATTCATATGATCATTGATAATAGAAAACTGTAATCCACGAAGGCTCAAATCAATACCACGCTCGTATTCAGAATTTGAATAACATAACCAACTTTCTCTCTGAATACAATCTACTAATTCCATATTGTTTTTCGATGACAAAAGTCGTTCGCAAATCAGCAATGCTTCAAGACGAAGCCCATCATTGTTATAGCGAATTGATTCAAGTTCCGCAATTGAAAGGCATTCAACATGGTTTTTATAGACTGAAATCGGTTTATTCGGTGTTTTTTCGATTCCATTTGACATTCTCAATATCATTGCTTGCATTAAATATTGATAACCTCTGTCATAATGCTGAAATTCACTTCTAGCACACAAAAGTGAAGCTCCTAATAGTTCTAAGATATCGATTTTATCTCGAACTCGAACCATATCTTCAACATTCAATGAATAATTCACAATTTCTTCATGCAAATCAACAGCAGCGATTTCCAAGGGAGTCATCATCTCATCATTTTGAATATCAATTCGAGCGTTGTATGACAAGAGAAGTTTAATAGCATCGATATGATTCAATATGACAGCACAATGTAATGTTGTTTCTCCGCCATTAGTCTGATGGTTAACATTTGTACCAGGTTGCTTCAAAAAATATTCAATTAATTGTAAATGACCAAGAATTCCTGCCATATTTAAACATATCGCATTTCTCTTGTTCTTTCGATGAACATCTGCATGTGCTTCTTCAACTAAATATTGCACAATATCAAATCTGCAGAGAATAGTCGCGATATGTAATGGTGTTGTATCGTAGTCACTTACAGTATGAACATCAGCGCCATGTTCGATTAGCAATTTGATTAGATCTAAATTTTCTGCACATATAGCTGCGCATAATGCGCTCATCTCATGGTGTAATGAAGATCTATATCGAACAGAACCTTTCATCTCTAAATCGATGGATTTTCGAAATTTAGTTAACAACATTCGAACGAGATTGACACGGTGTTTAAGTATAGCAATCATTAATATTGTACATCGTTGATTGCGTTCATACTTGTACAAGTGATTGAAGCATAAATTTGATTCGTCTTCCGTGGAACATAATTTGAATAAAAGAATTTCTAATGCAAGAAGATCTTCATCTGTTTCACCAAATAGTGAAATCATTACATCGTACGATCTTTCTCTTCCGTTCGCCATAACACAAAATGATTTTTACTTGATGTGAATTTTCACAACATCGTCAATGCAGACTTGGATTTATCATTTGAAATATGATCGTCTGTACACACTTTATGACTCATCAACTCGTGAATATGATGAAATGTTTTTTTATTGATAATGAAAATTTGTTCTGTTATAGTCGGATTATTCATAGATGTCTTTCATTGAGATTCTATTGCATCTAATTTTGAATTGATTTCACTCGAAAGATTTTCTAGGTTGGAGACGAAAGATTGTGGGATATTGTCGATAGCTTTTTCGAAAAACTCGAGTGTCTCATCTAAATTTCCCTCAGTTGATTCGCCAGCTTTGATGTAGAGTCGAGGAAATTGTTTGCGACTGTTGATTAGATCCAGTAGATTTCTATTCTCATCATTTTGCAATTGTTGCATTTCGTTCCAAATATGACTGAAACTTGTTCGTTCGTCATAAATCACCTCTTCTATTGGTTTAGTAAATAAATTTTCGCATTGATTGATCATCCAATAATATCAAAGTATATCCAAGACAGCTCATCGAATTATTAAAGTTATTTATCGCTTTCTCGAATTTGTTCAGCTGGAGAAGCTGCTGTTTCCTCGTCGTTTTCTTCGACTTGATCAAAAAGCATGAGATTAACATGTACGATTTGCTTGTAACTTTCACCCTTGTGATCAATTTCTCCATACGTTGTTTATCCGTCTCATCTGGATATAAATGATAACGATAAATTTGTAGTATAATGAAATACGCTATGCTGTCTTGAATGTTGTCTCAAATTCGTTTTGATCTTCTAAAGCTTTAAAACAAGCTTCTGTTCCTTTACGATACCATTGAATCCATTCATCATCTTGATCACATTGAATATACAAATGCACGTTTCTCGAAAGCTTTCTTGTCGCGCGATGGAAAATGTAAATCGAGCTTGGATCGATTTTCTGCATTCTTTTCAATGAAATTTTTGCAATAAGTTATTATTTCTTTTTCATCGCCCAAATAGCGGAATGTTTCAGCGAGCTGGAAAACCGTTTGTTCTAAATCATATCAAAATATTCTGTTTTTTTTCTTGGCAATTTTTTCAGTAACTTCCTCTTGAAGAGACAATGGATTTGCCGCACATTTAGCATGTATAATCGCCTTGAGATATGAATGATCATTAGGAACCAATTGTTTTGCATTGTTCATATACATCGCACGTGTTTGTTGAAATCTTTTCTTGCGTGGTGTTAGTCGATCTAATGCGTAATATACAGAAATAGTTTGTTTCGGTGCTAATGACTGTTGAATCGCAATGTGATGAGAACCTATAGCGGCATCGTCGTTATTTTGTTGTTGTTGCTGATAACATTTTCCTATCTTGCGATAAACATCTCCTCAATAATGATTAGTAAATCGGTATAATTTGCTCTGAAATGTTAAAAATTTTTCACAGATCTCTTCTGGATCATTGACTTGTCGGAGCGGGTCAACATCCGCTAATAGCTTACGAAAGATACACATTTGTTTCAGACAAGAAATCAGTGTTCGTATATCGAATTGTTTCAATTGACAATAGGAATCTCCCATTTGATAATAAACAAGTTTAATAGCCAAATCATCATTAGCTAAATTCAATTCTTGGATTTTAATTGCTTGTCGATGTTGATCCTGGGCAACGCAGAACTCAGCAAGAAGCAAATAGTTGAAAGCAAGCCTTGGATGGTATTGCGAAAAAGAACGAATCCGCATAGTTTATCATAGCAGAGAAGTCACGAATTTTCAAGTAATAACTTGCTCATGCATCATATAGAATGGCGGTTAAACTCATACTGATCAGGTCTGTTCGATTGATACTGATTTGAGTTTCCAATTGTTTTAAATCTCAAATAACTTTGTTCGGATCTTGATAACACTTGATCGATGCAAATGATATTTCAAAGAGTAGGAAAGAGTCACCTTGTATTTTAGGTTCTTTAAGTAATTCTGTGTAGATTTGTTCAGCTTTCGTCAAATCATCCGTTATCTGGTGCATCTCAGCAAGAAGAAGGGAGGCATTGAGATGTTCTACTTGATGTACCACATCATTCACATACTTGATCACATCTTGATAAAGATATTGTTTAATGCAGAGAAATCCACAAAAGAAGCTCAGTTCAAGTGAAGTTATTTGAGTTGTGCCTACTTGAGATGAATTAGAAACGAAATATTCATAGGCTTCAAAATAAGCTACATGAATCATTTGTTTTGCCCAGAGAACATCGATTGTTTCTGATGGAATTCATAATTTGACTAATTTTGATTTTTGTTGAAGTTCATGTGCTAGAATCCAAATATACATCGCATGGACGTACTGTTCTTTATCTCCAATATAACAAGCACCGACAATTTCAAGAAGAACAACCAGTTCTTCTAATTCAACTGTTTTTTTCCAAGACAAATATTCTATTATCTTGACTTGTGATCAAATCGCTGACAGTTGTTTGATAAAGTTCAGTAACTTTACTATAATTATTCGTTCGAGAGAATTCCATGGTAATATCAGTATAGACACGCATTAGTTTTGGATCACCGTCAGGAAGAATGCCCTTATAGATTGTCAAGGCATTATTGTAGAACTGTTCCGCATCGTCATCCTGTTGAGAACTTAGGAAATGTTCGTAGTTTATGTAACATTCTGCTTGCAATAATTTGTTTTCCGTCGCATCACACGTGATCTTGTTTGTCATTTTCTCGTACGGACGCAATGCTTTTCCATACTGTTCAACAGGATTTCCATGAAGATTTTGCCGAGCATATGTCATGCCTAACCAATTGTAGATGCTAGCCATGACGGGATCGTCTTTCAGCGACTTTTCAGTTTCCAAACACAAAGATGTAAGATATTTACGTGTTGTACGCTATTCACCAAGTTATCGAGGAGATATCGGGCAAGTAAAACGGATAGTTATGGTGCAGAGCAATTCTATATTTTCGCACGCATTTTATCGATATCACTAGTAGTGACATGAAGAGTATAATAATTTTTCTCTTCTCCTAATGATTTCTGTGGATCTTCGACTATATCGACGACAAAAATAGTACCTATACTGAACAAGACTCCTTCTTCATGATGAAACGAAATATTTCCAATGTATGCATGAGCAGCACACGATTTATTTGGTGGTACAAAGATCTCGAAGAGAACACGAGCGTATCCTTCGGGTAGGCATTGAGTTCGCACATAGAGTCTGGAGATTTCCGTTGACAGTCGTTGAGATAAAACCATCTATGGAAATGACTTGTGCTTTCTTTTCTTTCTTCGAGTGATTTTTTCATTTGTTTCAACGCTTCAACATCGATGGAAGCAGCGCGATAATATTTGTTCGTTTTCGTCGATTGTGCTAAATCTCGTTTATGCATGAATACCACCAAATTGCATCGCCAAAGTTTGGTTTGTCATTTTCTTTCTGAATTGGTTGAAGTTCTGTCTAGAATTTGGAGAAAACGAAGAACAGAAACGTTCCATTATTCGTTTCCTTACTTGTTCGTCTTCTGTCTGAAGTTTATTCCGTGTGTAAGCTTGTTTATATACTTCCAAACAGAGATTTTTTATATCCCATTCTTGTCATTGTTTCAATTGACTTTTTTCCTGTTTGGGCAATACGCAAAATACTAGCCGAGTTTTTTCCGATGGAGTTTCATCGAGAACATAGTTTTGTACATGCAGTGTCTGAATGTCCATCATCAGTTGTTCGGTTGAAGTACATAAATTATCGGGAACGCCATCGTTAACAGTAGCACCGGTTAGATGTACTTCTGCATTTCGCAATTGTTTAACTGACTCTTCGATCTTTTGAAAAAGACCAGAATCTGATTTGTTTGGATCATTGGAAGTCGTGTTATTCTAAAAAGGGTTTCTGTATAGCTGGTGATGTAGAGGAAGTCTCACCGTGAGATTCAGTTTACTGAAATCGTTTCGTAGATAGACGTCGAACGTGTTGAGAAGTTCGGTTCGTGCTAAAGCCATGTCAACATCAACAAATAGCTTATTAGTTTTGCCCATTTGTAAAAAAATTTCTTTGATATATCGTAACCATGAATACGATCTCGATTGTTCATTCACATCAGAGATAACCTTTTTTGTACCATCGAAAATTTTTAATGGAACTGCAAATTCTTCCCGTTCCGTGTCGAATTTGATAGCTGTGTCCGTTTTGACACCTCCAGATCCAATACTTTTCTCACCTGTTGCTGACGATTTCCCTTCGTATTCATCGTGGAACCTATAATATGTGTCAAATAAATATATACACAAATAAGAAAATGTATCTTGTATAAATATGAATCAAAAGCAATGAAATATCCATACATAAAAAATGTTAGATAAAGAGTCGACACATGAATCTAATGAATAGACAAGCGAAAAATATAAGGAGAAAAAAGTAATATTACGCATGGCAAATGCAAGATGTGTAGTCGTGATCAAAATATTTACGAAGATTTCGTACAGATACACCTCGCTCAAAAGTAGGCGAGAAATCTACGAATCAGTCAATTATTTTTGTACAAACGTCATTTCGATCGAAAAAGTATATCAAAAAGAGGATTTATCGTTTATCTTCCACGTAATTTCATTGACAGTTGGTTGGCATTTGTCTTACATAATATTAATAAAACTGTAATAACTTGATTTTTTATCAATTGTTGACTTGTCAACAATAAAACTCTATAGTTTCAATTTATTTCTCACCAGTACGAACATGTTCTATCCTATTCTGGTTTATATTATTTGCCTAGCATATCCTATTCAAGCAGATAATAATGATGATGATCCTCCGTATAATGTTCAATTCGCCATAAATGATCATTTTGCTATTTTAGCTCAAAATGAATTTCAACAGTTCATTTTTATGAAAAGTCCCTACAATGGATTATCGACTATGTGCAAATTGACATATTTTAGTATCAGCGACTCAAGAATTGCATCAAGTGATAGTGATATCCTTGCAACAGTTTATAGTGTAACAATTGGCTGTCACCAGAATACCAGTAGTCTCATATTTGCTGCGTATGGTAAGACACTTGTGCGGGAACATAGATATTTAGTAACTGTAGTAATGGAAATGACTGATACTTCGGATTGTCCGGATGTTGTTCGTTCTATTCAGTTTGTGCCAACTATTGGCATAGACGTATTTCTCCAAGGATCGAATAGAGATTCAAGTTCAGGAATGATAATGAACTGGCCATTGATGGATATCGATTCGTTTGGTTCACATGTTTACGCGTTCTCATCTGGATGTATTCTAAAATTGAACATTTTCGATTCTCTGGCGATTGGAGAGCGTATCGTGGAAGAATATATGTTTGAGTGGGGATTTTTTGTAAAAGCATCTCAGGTCTTGACAGTAGAACGTTTATTTGTTGCTGGTATGAGAAAAACTCCCAAGTCAGCTACTCTTCAAGCTTACTTGTACGTAATACAATTAAACGAATCACCAAATACAACTATTCTTGCCACAAGACAAATTTCTTCGCATCTTTTTGAACAGAATTCGTTGTATCCAAACCATTATTGAAGTATGTCTTTGTCTGTTCATCCAAAAAAACACATTATACTCGTTGGAATTCCACACTTGAACTTCGCTGCTATTTTCTATTTCAATGAAACGCATTACAAATTCGAATTAGTTTATGAACATCATTTTGGACATGCACGAAATTTTTGTGGTCAATCAGTAGTATGGATTGATGAAGATAAATATGCGATTCTTTGTCTATCTCTTTCTACTCTACCATGGTCGAGTTCTCAAGTGCAGGTTAGTGTAAATAATTTTCTATTCGAACTTTTCAAGACTTGTATTGATACATAGATTTATTCTTATCAAGATTTACATCAACCCAAGAAATTACTTTATACTTTTCCGAATAATCAACAAGCGATTGATCCGTTAGTCATGTCTCATTTGCCTCCATATGAATTCCATAGTATTTCATCATGGACATCGGGACTTGTTGTTGCTCTAGATGTTGAAATTGGTCTTATTATTCCAATGAGTTCGCCGGGCTTCTGTAGCAGACGAATGATAGGAAACTACAGTATGGTTATCTATGGGAGTGATTCGTGTATTATCGGTACTAGCCAGAATACAAGCAGTTCAGGACCGTGCCTCCTCTGTCCACCCGGTACAATGGACAATGGTAGTTTCGACACGGAATGTCAGAAATGTTCGACATCTGACTATTGTTTACGTGGCGCATTGACGGAACTCACAGCTGCACATACATTAAGCTATGCTCAGACTACTCCGTATCCTGAATCGGCGACATCAACAGAATTTGACGATGTGCTGCTACAGAATATCTTCAGATTTAGTGACTGTCTTTTTCAATCGCCTCTCCTGTGGATATCGATTGTAGTTCTTGTCAGTTGTCTATGTTGCTTATTCATTGGTTTCTTAATCTACAAATCGAAGTGCCTTCGATGCAATATATTGACAAGAAAGTTATGTGTACGTTTCGATCTGATTGGAGAAGGCAAATATTGGATGGGTGGTTTTCTTTCGCTACCCATTCTAGTTCTCATCATCTTTGCAATTAGATTCGACCGGTTATTTGCTAATCTTTATCCAATCGAGAGCATTTCCAATGACAATGCTTGTGATCCATCACTTCTCAATGCAAAATTTACCAGTACTCTACAATTACTCTCCATTCATCGACATCCGGACGAGCAAATTCTTTTCGATATGCTTGACGACGAACAAACTATCACACTTATTCTTCATTTTCTTGCCACGGGATTTACTTGTAGTCATTTAACAGTCCAATACAATACAAATGAGAATGAAAATGTGTTTTCGAATGATTACATTTGCTCTTATAATAGAACGAATGGAATAATTACTGTATCGCTTCATGTTTTACCATCGCTTCTTACTTTACAATTTCATTTACAAGGTCCTTATTTTATTGGCGGACTTCGTATATGTTTCTCCGGCTCATCAGTAACCAAAGATAATAGAAAATATGTTGTAGAGAATCTTGATATTTGCCAGTTTTATCATACTCCTAATGAAACCTTGACGGCAAATCCAACTCTGAATGTTGAAATGATCAAAACAATTAATCGTACAGAAGTATTTTCCAATAGTGGAGAAATCATGTTCAATGGACGATGGTTACCGATGATGACAATGCGCATGCTCTCGGATAGTATTCTATATCGTCAGCGTGAAGAAAAGTTACGTTATTTATCCTCGCAAACAACGTTAACTATTCAAATAATGGAATCCAAGTTTTATATTAAGAATACTCAGGAACCGATTGCGAGACAATCTGAAATTATTTTCAAGACATTGCTTTTTGCGAGTAAGTTTATTGTCTTCAGTGAAAATAAGAACATACGTTCTGTTATTCTTAGCATTGTGCCTCGAGCTTGCTGCTTTAGCTTTTCTGATCGTCAAACTTGTCATTATGCCCTTCGTACGTCTTATTCAACACCGAATTGAGAATCAAAACAAAAAAAACATAGCAATCATACAAAGTCCTTGACAGGACATAGTGTACTTTACTCTTCTTCATCGTCACTTTCAACTTTTTACTTATAGAATAAACTACGAAATTTTTTCCCCTAATATTTTGTTTGCTTTTCTTTTCATGTCTTCATTGATAATAAATAAATCAAGAGACTTTGCTGGGATATGCGTACAAAATTTGTATTCAATAGTGATCGATGTTAAGCTATCACCTAAAGGAACCAGTTACTGGCTAGATTTATTCGCTTCTTCGTACGATAAAATCATCCGTCCTCACCCTCAACATCAATTTTCTTCTTTACTTTTTTCTATTGATCGCAAATGTTCTTGTTGAAATAACTTTCTTTCCTTGAAAGCCAACATTAACAAAGTTATTTGATTCTCAATCCATGTTGAACATGAGACTCTGTCGAGAAAGTCACGTACGTTCAATATGTTTCGAAGACCAGACGATACCATTTGAAGAACTTGCCTCGGTATATAAATCGTTCAAAGTAGATTTCTCTAATTTTGCATTTAACAAAATACCGACATGTTCTGTGTGAGAACAATAATGTTTCTGATTGTCCTACCATATGTCGAACTCAAAATCTATCTGTACAGTGCACAAGATGGTCAAGCAATTGAATACTACGATTGTGTCATGATTGAGTCTCTCTTCTATTGCCGACGTCCTGAAGAACCTATTGATTTACATCGAGATAATGTCACAGAATCGTGCGAGAAGAACGGTGGTAAAACACATCTCTTTTCTGAACTGCGAGCGGCACGAGTGAATGTTAGCACTGTCCTGCATGAATGGAAATCGACCCTCGAACACGTGGAACGCTACTCACGTTACTTAAGAGGTTCTTCTCAATTAGATGGACATGTATGCCAATGTCTTCGCGATCACAATCTTTCGGCAAGAATTGCGAATATCATCTACCAGTCGGTACAACACTTCAAGACGCTTTAGAATGGCAATTAAAGGTATATTACGATAATCGATGGGACCGACGCCTGCATATTTATGTTGATATAATCGGTTTTGTCCATTAGATTTCTGGTCGTGTGGCGACGGGCAATGCGTTCGGGACCGATGTGGGTCTCAGAAAAGGACCGGAATACGGAGAGTGCCGTAGTCAACGAGACCAACGTTTCATATGTGAAACTTATTGTTGTTGGCTGATGTGGACCTTGTCAAATGGACAACGTTGTTTTGAACGACTATGCATAGTCACAAATAAGGAACAACACTATCGATGAGCAATGCCAGCTTCTACTCAGATGTATACTATCAGAAAATACGGCATCAGGTTGTTCACACTGGGACGACACAGGCTATCCGATAAATCTCAGTGACTACTGCCCCTTAGAATTGATTCCATATCCTCAAGGACCTATTATAAGCTCGTATGATTCGTACTTTTTCAATCGTGAATGAAACTAGACCCTTTCTTTTCCAGACTGGATTTTTATTAACGGTACGGTTCGATGTGGCGATGCTCTAGTTTCAACTACGCAGCGAATTGAGTTCAGTACATATTGGAATGAACGACGGATCATCGACGAAATTTTTTGTAATCTCAATAGCTCAACCGTTTTGGGCAATGGAACGAGTGTTAGAGCCGAACGCTTTTGCTTTCGTTCTTCAAACGATCAACTAACATGTTTGAGTGTCACGGTCTTGGGAGATAATCGACACGATTGTCCAAATCAGTTTGACGAATTGTGGTTGGGAACGAATCGAAACTCACATAGCTTTTCTTTCTTATTGCGACACTTTCTGGAACACAGGCTCGCAGGAAGTTTGAGGCAATCCTAAGATGACTAAATTAATAAATTGTTTCTTATATTTCGATGACTTAGTCACCTATTTTTTCATTATTTGATCTATTTTAGATGAACTTGCCTTCACGTTATTATCAAAGCATATGTTCTGTAAGTCCACCTCGGAAGCACCGCCGCTGCAAAAACACGCTAGAAACGGCATCTCCCGATGCTCCACTACCAAATAAAGACGAAATCAACACGGATATGGGCTTTAATGAATCGATTAGCCGCGTAGAGCAAGAGTTACGTGAAAGCGAACGTCGTAAAAAACAAGCTTTATGCGTGGAACTTACATCCTTTCTTTTCGACATATTCTGTCACGAAGTTCTTTTGCCTAGCGTGCAGTTAGACGGCAATAAGGATTGGTTTCTTGATATTCGAGATATTCTTCATCGTGAATATATGAAAAAATCACTAGCAGAAGGAGAGCACAAATTAGTCAAGGTGATTAAACAAGTGGCTATTCCGCAGTACTTTACCGATAATCAGTGGTATTGTTTGCTCAATTTAAACGTGAGTATGGGTCAACTGTATAGTCATCGTTCGATGAATCGGTTTAAACTTTCAACAGAAGTGAAGGGGCTTGCTGCGATTTACTTGGATGGCGAGGCTAAACAAATTGTAGAAGCACTTGTCGAACGTGTGGAAAGCTCTCGACCGGTAACAAGAATGAATACATTGAGAAAGAACTACCAGAAAAAGCTCTGATTCACAGTATATTTTTTAACCATATAATCCTTGTCAGCAAAAACAAAATAATCCGATTTTTATTATAATTACGGTGATATGTATATTTACGCATGAATTATAAAATAAAGATATAAAAGTATGAAAATAAATATGTTAACTGTTTCCTCCAACCTGCACAAGGTTTAAGTTTTCAATGGGCAAGAGTAATGATGAAGATAAATAAAAGTCATTCACACTCGTGCATAAAAGAATGACTTTTTCATTTTCGTAATCAATATCGAAATACGGAAGATGTCGCAAAGAGTGAATACGACGCTTTTCTTAATTCTAGTTGGTTATAACATAAAAGGTATATTACTATGCGATAAATATATATATACCTACTGATAAGATTTCTCAAACAGAAGACATGTCCAAGCAATTCGAACATCTTGCCAATGAGATATTAATCACTATTTTCGATTATGTTAGCGTTCAAGATTTATATAGAAGTTTCTGGGGATTGAATCAACGATTGAATGATCTTCTTCAATCGCTGAATAAGTTATCCGTGAAAATCGAAAACAATGATTTATCGTTGATCGAAACACTTGCCGATCGAATTATTCGATTAGAAGTTGACATCCCTGATGGTGTTAACTGGAGTCTATTTCCAAATCTACGATCATTAACACTAAAGCGAATAACTTTTCCGCAATCAAATGAACTTGCATTAGCCCACTTACCTCATTTAACCTATTTTTCACTTCTATCATGTGGATTCGATGCGTCGAGCTATCTTGCATATCAAATTTTC